CCATCTACAGGTATATTTATATAATGCATTTCAAATATTTTCTATGTTTTGCTAGAGAGCAGCAGAAGTTGGTATCATAATAAGCACTATTGTTGGGAGATTGATACTTTCACACCCCAAAAAAGGCTTCTTTGCATTATTGTGGTTTCATTAGTGTGTATACTTTTGTTTTTGAAAGGTCCAGGAAACACCTATAATGTGATTCTTTGTGTGGGTGTGTTGTTTTTTTTAACCTTTAATACCGTTTTCAATATCTTGCATACCCCTTATAGATGGAGTCCCCCCCCATCCCTCAGTGAGGTCTAGAAGCACAAGATCTATATCCAGCGATTCAGCAAAGATCTTGCTACATGGCTGTATATCTTATTTTTGGATTTGACCAATTATATTAGCCTTTGAATGATATATCTCCTACTATAAATTAAGTTGGGAAAAAAAAAAAAGTAAAGAAAAAAATGCAAAAAGCTAATTGAAAAGTTAAAAAGTTAATAGCCTAGTTAAGAATTATATTTAGGTTTATAAACTAAAAAATGTAAGTGCCAGTATCAGCATTAATGCCTCTAAGGTTATGTTGGACCAAAAAAAAAAAGTGTTTTTCATTCTCAGTGTTTAATGTATTTCTTATAGAAGCACTTTTGTTATTTAATATATAGTTGGCTTTTCTTGTTATTACACTGACATAAATTTTTCCCATCAAAATCTCAGTTTTGTTTTTTTTTATGTTACAAAGGTAATAAGCTCTTGTCCTGTATTATAATAACATTTTTGGCTTGAAGTTTTGATTTTCAAAGTACCCTATAAAGTGCCCTATAAAGGGTTAATCGTTTTGCCTTGTTTGCTCTAAAATCAGGTTGTGCACTGTATTTTATTTAAGAAAGCATCCATGCAGATTTGTTTTCTATTGTATAAATTAATAAATAAGGTTTTCTGAATCAGCCCAGTAAAATTACAACTTAAAGTTACATAATCACGTTTTTTAAATTCATATGATAGTAGCACATAATGGTTAGAAATTATGATTTTATATGAAATTACGGAGTCCTGTTAGTTAAATATTTGTTATTTTGTTTTTTTAAGCTTTTTTTTCCCCCTCAATCTAAACATTTATTTTCATGCAGTTGCTGGATCATTGAAATGGTAAAAATTATGATGTGTTTCAGGATTGTTAGTGTTTAACTTAAGCAAAAAGAAATCACTGTCAGCGCTGGGGGGGTGGGGGGTGTGGGGGGGTTTGAAAATGTACCGCTAAATATTAGCTCTCGCCCTTAATAGGCAGTTTATTATTGGGTATCAGTATTGGTGAAGCCATCATTTTGTGCTTCTGTTTGAAAAAGTATAAAGAAATGAAATTTAAATTATTGCCTTCTCTTCCTGATTCCTACTTATGAGTCCGTACTATAAAGCCTCTACAAGAAGGAACAGAGCAGGCTGGATTTCCTATGGAAGCTAAGTTCTTCAGTGTTTGCAGCCAGATGCTGCCGATCTTCTATCAAGAGTGTGAACTCTTGCTCATCATCTTCTGGGGTAAGGGGTAATAAAGACGCGGCTCTGTTC